TAATAATACATCGTGTAGCATAGCTCTCAACAAATGTAGTCCTGTAAAAATAAATGAATAAAGAAATTGTGTAATAAAATGCCTCTGGCGGGACTCGAACCTGCGACCTCTCGCTGTCATATATATATATATATATACGACTATATATATATACGACTATATACTACCATAGGGGGAAACCTTAACAATGGAGAGGGTTAGAAATAATACCTTAAGGCGAAAATACTGCCGCTAAGGGGATATTTTAACGACGTTAATGCGAAATGTAGACAAAGGATTTTTCACCCTGTAGAATGCGAAACTTCAAAATAAAAATTACTACCAATGGAATCAGCATAAGATGTTATGTAAATTTAATCGTTCAAACGTAGAAAGGATGATAAATGAAACGGTGAAAAATGGTATAACAGTAGTACAGTAGTAACGGGATAATGACGAGACGTATATCGAATACGAGAAGAACAAAGTCAACGAGTATGAGTACGTGATTCACAAAGTTTTGTAGACATTTCAATTAAAGATTTCGCAACTCTACAGATTCTAGATAGCAAGGCAGGCTAAATTAAGTACGAGAAACTTTACGTACACTTCTTTCCAAATGCCGCCTGGTTACCTTTGTTATACGTCAGCGTTATGACGCCCTCTATAAATCTGATTAATTAGGGCATTACATCCCGGCCCCTTAATTGTGAAACAATTATTCAAATTAAAGATGCATTAACTTCAAGAATAACAAAATTCAATTTCGATCTTGATCCGTTTCCAAAAGCAAGCGCAGTTTAGATATCAGTCTCTTCAACACAGAATGTTGAGTCTTAACAGAACAGGATCTCACAAAACCACTGCTGTCTGCATTGACTTCTACTATTCTCCCAAGTAGCCAACTGTTTCTTGGTAGCGATTCGTCCATTACAAGCACAATATCTCCACATGTGAGATTTCTTTTCGGGTCGCACCATTTCTGCCTTTTCTGCAACATAGGCAAATATTCTTTGCGCCATCTAGCCCAGAAAAGATTTGCCAAGTATTGAACCTGTCGCCAGCGCCTTCGGGAATAAGCATCATTCCTGTCAAATATTCCCGGAGGCATTGATGCCTTTTCTCTCAATGTCAGTAGCATACTAGGAGTTAACGGTTGTAGGTCATTGGGATCTGAAGATATTGTAGATATTGGCCGATTATTGATAATACTTTCAACTTCGCAAAACAGAGTACAGATTCCTTCATAATCTAGTTTCAAACATTGTTCTTGTAGTACTCCATTAATGACCTTGCGCACCGTTCTGATAAGTCTTTCCCACACCCCACCAAAGTGGGATGTGGCTGGTGGGTTGAACTCCCAACGGATACCCATCTGCTTCAACCACTCAGGAATTTCACTGTCATTCAAGGCGTTCACTACGTCTCTCAATTCTCTTTCGGCACCTATAAAATTGGTGCCATTGTCTGTCCTTAATGAGGAAATAATACCTCTCCTGCAGATAAATCTGCGTATAGCATTCAAGCATTAGTCAGTGTTTGCTGTCTGAACAATCTCCAAATGTAAGGCTCTTGTAGCCAGGCAAAATTAAACAGCAGTCCATATCTTTTGACCATGCTTCGACCTTGTTTGATCTCAAAGGGTCCAAACATATCAAGACCTGTGTTATCGAATACAGGTTTATCGCTCATCAACCGTTCAGTAGGCAATGTTGCCATTTTTTGATGAGAAGCTTTAGTGTTGTACCTTCTGCAAACAACACATTTACTGACAACATTCTTAATCAGCGCACCAATGCCAAGTACCCAATACCTTTGCCACAAGTCCATTAGTATAGCACCTCTACCCATGTGCCCAACACTCTTATGAGCTTCGAGGACGAGCAGCTTGGCTACTTCCGACCTCTTTGGGACGAATACTTGGTGCTTCTTTTCTTCAGGGAGGGCTGCCCGTCTTAGCCTTCCTCCAACTGTAATAAAATCGTCCATCAACATGGCTATTCCTCATCACTTTGGCAGTGGCTTCAAAGTCACCAAGTTTTAATACTTTCAACTCTTGTTCGAAGTATCTTTGTTGTTCATGAGCCAACATCATCTTCTCTGCAGTTTTCAGATGTTCCAATGTTGGACGAATGCAAGCCCCGTTTTTCCGTAGTCTCTCTATAGCCACAAGCACCCAGCCTACAATCCTCTTTAACTTGCTATAGGCAGAGTATTTAGTAATCAGGTCATCTAGAAAACAACATTGACCTGTTTCGGCTACTATTGCATTTGACACCCTCTTTAGTTCTGGATCATCTTCATCAATGCAAAGTAAGAGTATAATCTCCTGTAGATTTTGCCACTGTTGGACTGGTTGAGGTACTCAGGACCATTTTCCATCTTGTGTTTCTTAAGAAGTCCTCAATTTTCTGACCTCTCGAAGCTTCGTCGGCAGGATTGTTGCTTGTTCTAACATACATCCACTGAGATGGCTTTGAAAGGTTAAGGATAACTTGACAATAGCTGGCAATGTTTAAGTGCTATCGATGGGTGGAGGTTGTATGGAGTGTTGTTATGTGTATTGAGCATAAAGAAAAACATTTAAAATTAGAGTTAGTTGTATGCATCATCATAGACCTTTTTTGTTATGTTCACTTAACAGTTAAGAAAGGTGTGATGTCGTGTACAGTGATATTAATGGAAATATGGTTGTTGTAATGTTTGTTGTATACGTAACTTTTTTAAATATTTTGTACTGTAATTATGAAGATATTCATGTAGAGGTTCAAGATATAAGTAGACAGTTTGGTGAGTGAATGCTGGGTTCACTCGAACTTTCAATTTTGTTTAGCCAATTGACTATTAAGCTAAAAAAAAAATTTAGCCAATTCGATATTTGTTTAGCCAAAATTGGCTAAAATGTTTTAAATTGTTTTAGCCACTTATCATGCACTTAAATGGCCCGAGTGAAGTTTCATGCAAATGTTTCGTACAGAAAAAAAAAAATTGTGGCCTGGCCAGTGGGAAACCACACTGCTTCCGATCTCGGCAGTTATAAATTCAAGAGCATGTTGGGACCGCCATGCTTGGATGAAAAACGATATGACATTTAATGCTCATGAAAGTGAAATAACTGATAAAATTGTTCTTTTGTCCTATGAAATCTTTTTCTGAAGATGCCATTAAGCATTTATTCTTTTTTAGTCTTTCATGTGTGTAATAAATATGAACGCAAATCATATAATTTAAACAAATTTCTATCAGTCACTACGCTCCCTATAAGAATTACTGTACCGTCACTGAGCCTTTTGTTGTAATTTACATAACCATTTCAAGGGTTGATTGAAGTGCATCTCTTTATCTTTTTATTTGACATAAATTTATATTTTTAAAATACTTGAAGATAATGCAAACTTAAAAAAGAAAACTCACTGAATTTTCAAATCTGTATTCTTGACTTTAAACATTTTTAAATTAAAAAATAGGTTATATTTTAAAATGCAGTAAGGTGGCTTAGGTTTTAAATATGTAGTAAACACACAAAAGTTAATGTGCTAAAATAGTTCTATAATATATTTTCCAAAATAAATCATGGTATGTGAAGTAGTATCACCATATTATGTGCTTATTTTTATCAGTTTGTTTGCAGTCATTTAAAAAAAAAATAACCTCCACTCAAACATCTGTAACAATTTGAAATAAAAATAAGTTGTATGTATTACTACAAATAGTAATATTGTAAATTTCCATAGCTTGATCATGCCTCAAATATTCAAAGTGTGGAATTGTAAATGCAATCTAAGGAAGTGTATTAATGCTAACACTCTAGAAGAAGTACTTGCCAAAGGTGAGTATTACATATGGTTGTACTGCAATTTATCATTATCTTATCATTTGTATTGTTTATATTATTATTGATATTGGTATTTGATTGTTAGTATCAAAGGAAAACTAATATAGTAATAACAAAAAAAAAGTATTTGAAAATTATTAAAAAATAACAATCAGTTCCAATTTTTACTTAGATTTTATAATTGTTTTACTGATATATTGCAGCCAAAAAGAAAATGAGCATTGCAACAAAAATGTCTGTACGCCTTGTGCTTCTTCAAGATGGGACTGATATAGATGAACAGGAACTTCTAGATTGCTTTAAGAATGAAACATTTATGTTATTAACATCAGATGAAGAGTGGCAAGATGTGCCTACCATGCTACCACCTATTTGGTTAACAACACCTCAAGAAGAAGACAATCCACCAACAATGACAGACTTGGTGGCTCTGATGAAGAGGATCCAGTAGACTCTGCTCCAATCAGCCCAAGTAGTAAGAATAACATCTGCCATTGTGTGCGATTCTATCTGCATTTTTTTATGTATTGTTCTTTCATAATTGTATTATTTTTATTTATTTTTTGGCATGGCTAATATTGTGATATGCTAATTGTTATGTGGTCATAATGAAATCAGCCCTAAATATACAATAGAGGGACTAATGTGGTTTGTAATCAATGAACACCTGTCAGAGAACTGCTGACACCACTTCAGCCAGTTGTATACTTGGTTATGTAGAAACATAATAACATTATCTCATTAAAAGAAACTGCATATTAATCACCTCTTTAGCACCAGAGATACTGCCAGGCAGTGAAGGGTGTGTTGTCAGAAGCATCATTATACTATCACATGAAATACCCAAACGTTGTCAACTCTTCTGAGCACTATCAAGCAATAGGACAGAAACTGGTGAAGAAGTATCCCTTTTGGCACATGATGGGAATAAGCCTTGGGTATGTTTAAAATAAGCGATTGTTTATGAGATCTGTAAATACTTTGAAAATTCATGCAAAATAATTGTGCATGATTCTAAATAAATTGTAACAATAGTGTGTTTGGTACATGCTGTTATCAGAGTTAAAAATCACAGTGATCTCAACAAAAAATATCACACTCAAATGCTTGATCAAACTGTACTGCCATATTGATATTAAAGAACTGAAGCTTACTTGAAAGAAAAAGTATTTTTTATGCACCGATTCTACAAAGTTCCAAATCTTCGCGGCGAAAAAAACTTGGGGCATCCATTCATGTGATTTCTAATTTCGTTAATTTGTTGAAATTTAATTACTCAACTGACAGCCATCTCATTGATTGAGGTCGGCGCGGATGAGAAAGATCGTAACATGGAGGATAAACAAGGGGATTCTACCACGGATCTAGGCCTGCCTTGCCATGGAGTCTTGTTTACGACATTTTAAGGCTGAGCGAGCGCCATAGTATATTGGCTTAAGATAAGAAATTTTGTTTCATTGCTCTATGACATTGTGGAAATCACATTTTTCATGAAATTTTCGGGATATTTAAAAAAATCGGGAGATTATTAATAAAAATCGGGAGGGCGGGAGACGGCCTAAAAAATCGGGAGAAACCCGCGATTTTCTGGAGACTTGGGATCTCTGCCGATCATACAAAAATCTCAAGACATTATATATTTTTCGCCAAAAAGTGGGGGGCCCGGGCCCCCCGCTTCCGCCGGCCATGCAATATCCCTCAACCAGAGTGGACATAAGAATTGATTGGATCATTATTGATCAAAATTTACAAATGTATAAATAATGTACATAGTAGTTACTTGTTCAAAAGTTTAACAAAGTAAGGTATCGGTCTTCTTCGGAACCGTTCTGTTTTCGAGCATAAAATGGAGTGATCCTTTGAGTTTCTAAGATTGTATTTAACTAACTCGTGTCTTTGTTTGGGTAGCCAGGTTTGAAATATTGGGTGATGAGCAAGCTTCTGTGCAAATTTGAGACATAAGTTTTCTCCGCGTTTAAATAATTTTTCTATATTCAACAATCCAGTGACAGTTGCCAGAATGTTTGACAAACGCTTTCATACTTTTTTGAGAAATGTGATTTTGTCTGAAGCATAGCCTATTGGTAAGGTTATAGATTATTTCTATAGAATTGAATTTCAAATAAGAGGACACGCACACGTCCATATGTTAGTGTGGATCGAGGACGTCCCAGTTCTTGATGAGGATGAAGATGAGAAAGTAATCATTTTCATTGATAAGTATATTTCTTGTGTTATACCATCACAAACTATAGATCCCGAACTGCATGAAATTGTTACAAGTGTGCAGATTCACAGCAAAAGGCATTCAAAATCTTGTAAGAAAAAGGGAACAAATTGTAGATTTAATTTCCCTAGACAACCATCGGAACAAACATTTATTGTAAGACCAGCTGCAGTGGATGAAAATGATGATGATGACGATGATGCCTTTGAAAAAGCAAGATGTTTATTAACTTCCGTAAAAGATGCACTGACTGGTGAACAAAGGTATCAAAATGCAAGTGAACTTTTTCGAAGTCTAGGCATAACACAGGAGGCATTTGAGGATGCAAACAATCTCATAAATTCTGAGCAAAAGATTATTATTAAGAGGAACCCTGAAGACGTTTGGTTGAATCAATATAACCCTTCCTTGCTCAGAGCTTGGAATGCCAATATGGACATTCAGTATATAACAAATGTATATGCATGTATTGGATTTGCACTAGGGCCCAAACTAGTCCCACGACCACTAATGATTACAGAACCAAACCAAGGCAATATATATACACAGCCCATGTGTGAATGCAAATAGTGGAATACAAGCTATGTGTCTCGGTTCCAGTAGATACAGAGAATATTTTGTCATTCTTTACGCGTCCTACGAAATTCTTACGAGACAGCACTAGTCCGTGAATTTGTGAACCTAAGCTGGTCGAACGTTTCGTTTGGGTCTATACTCTAGCTGCACTAATGAGGCCTGGAAGGCCGAAACGGATCCGTCTGCAGATATTGGGATTCCTTCCAGTGGATGCTTAGTTTATTTTGTCATTCTGATCGGATTTTCTCTACTGTTCCTTTTTAATTTTATATATAT